ACATTGTGCCTAATTTCGAACTATGCCACGTTCGTATGACGCAGTTTCCTGCTTCACACTCTTGTCCATATATTAGCAGATTTGTGTACGTAACAGAAATCTGCGGGTAACGACGAAGCATTATCTCTATTTATTGCATTATGGATGCGCGCGGGTCAAATAGAATTTTCCGAATTCGGATTCCCCCGTCTGCCTTTTTCTTGATTTCTTTAGCTAAGCGTCCTTTTTCCCCGGACCGATCTCAGTTACAAAACTGGTCCAAATTCGATGGCAACCGAATAACCAATTACAATTACCAATATCATGTCCTTTAACGTTGCAGTTTGCAGGCGGCCCGTTGCATTACGATGGTCACGAACACTACGGATAGCGGGTCACAGATAACGCCGGTTCTAGGTCTTTGTCTCCACTTGTCCTTCGAATTTTTTGCGAGCGTTTTTTTCTTTCAAAGGCTGCACCGACATTTCTACGCATGCTTTCTACGAACAGAACCGTTCTCGCTGTTGGTGCCTGTTGATCCTTACGTTCTTATTGCCAGCCAAGTCTTACCAATAGTATACAGCAGTCTGTTTATTTATTATACGATAGCTTCTTATATTGTGCCAGTGAGTTCGCCGTTGTAAGGAAAGCATCGCGAGCGTGGTTCGGGAGAGAATCGTGAACGTATGCTCTATGCTGTCTCGTATTATTGCAGCAAATGACGAGTCTTGCATTAATCCGGCTGGGGCAAGAACGGATCGTTTCTAAATAAGTAACTGTTGAACGCTACAAGCAAACACAGATAAGAGTTACCTCGTAGGGGGCGACCCCTAATAGCCGAACTTGTCAACCCCAGCTAGAACCGATCACAGCGTTATCAGCGACAGAACGGCCTGTATGGGACGGCTTGCCACGGTCAGCTGACGTTTGTCATAAACTACATAAAGTCATTGAAAAAAGTTACTTCGAAAATAGCGTTTATAAACGAAGTAACTGTTTATTGATTGGTGATGAGTACGCCAGGTCTTCACATTGAGTGCGTATGGTGCAATATCTGCAGTGTAGTTCGATACGTATCTACAAGCACGAAAAATACTAGCACTCGGTCTGAAAAGCGGTTTACCCACGAATACTTTAAGAAACCCCGTTTGGAGGGACGGCAGTAACAGAAACAAATCGATTTGACAAAACCAGACCATTGCCGCTGTACGGCGCCGTGCTCGACGACGATTTTCTATTCCCTTGCTAATATAGCCTGTGTGTCCTTTTGTTACATAACGTCTCGAGAACTTTGGACTTCAGTCAATTAAACAGGCAGTCACGAAGCGGTTCCAAGCCAAACGCAGAAATCGAAAATGGTGGACACACGTTCGTACAGACGGACAAACGGATGGGATTTACTTCGAATTTTACAGCACCAATTTCTTCTTCTGTCGTCAGCTTTCAAACGGTAGTATTCGAAATGTTCTTCGCGACAGTGGCATCGGCCGGCTGTAGCCTTTATCATCAGACAGTTTATTACCTTTGTGGTTTCCCAACGTGTCAAGACACGGCCGACAATCTACGCCTGCTGGCCCGCGTTATAGCGCGCAATGAAGTCCACGTGGTCGCCGTTGATGAACTTCTTATTTAGGTTGATGTCGATTTTACCTTCTGCTCGGCCTGCGTCGCCTGCTTGTTTGTTCGCTGGCGTTTAGCCTGTATAATAAGAGAGGTGTACTTGGGGCCGGATCTGAGCTTTAACTTGAGCGAATAGCGGCCATTTTATGACAGCAGCAGCAGTACGAGTCGCTAGCCTGGTCAAATTTTGTCACCGCTCTCCATCCAAAACGCTCGAGCTGTCATCGATATTGGTTTTATTATATTTGCGATGTCGATTATGGTAGGAAAAAAGAAAACATAAAATCAGAAACGCGGACGAGATCGATCGATCCATCCATCCATCATCACCGAGCAGCCAATGCTACGTGGCTAAAATGCGTCTATATGTAGATAGCAATTGAAACATTATCGCTTTATATTCATAGATGCTTGCGTAGCAGTGCAGGGGTACGATGTTTTTACGCGGAGTCGATATCAATAGATATCTATAATATTACCTTCGGGGGAAGCGGATCGTGCAGATGTGAGGGAAGGTGAATGTGAGATTAGCTTAAAATACTCGAAACGGCGGAGTGTACCGTATACGTACGTAAGTATGCGAATGAAAATTTGTATATAGCAGGTGTTTTATTGCCGGTAAGAACCTCGAGGTGGGGTCGGCCAGTGAAGTCGACGTTTTTTGTGACTACTAAACAAATACGAGGCCAGTCGTTGTGTCGTATTGGACTACGGTTCAGTAAACCCACATTTTTTTTATGTCTAATACATACATCATCGTTTAAGGAAATGTTTCGGCTTATAAGGTTGAACCTGATAAGTTATCAAACAGGTAATGAAGGTTTTTTACAATCTTAAGCTTTGAAGCAACGATCGATGCTGTTGTTCTTAGGAGATATAAGTGACTAGTTATTTTTTTGCTTTATACCTAACACATTTAATGTGTTTTGCTTTCATGCATATTATTAAAACACTTCACGCAGTACTCAATATCTATCGGATCGGTACTTGTCTACTGCTCCGAAGACTTCGATGAACGTCAGTGCAAATCGGGAAATTCTTCCACGTTAATATTCATCCGTAATTATAGCATTGCTTAGCTATCGTATACTGCAATAGGTCTGACTATGCGTCCGACATCTTAGCTTCCGTAGCTTCTCTCTGGCAGATGCGCATTTTGCGGACTCTCGATATCGCTTTCAACATCGCGCACCGTTTCACATCGCATCACTATAGATAACGCTACAATGATACGATACGAATACACATATCGTGGCCATTTGCCGAACGGGGAGACCACCACGCTACCCCCCCCCCCTCTCTCTTTCTTAGCCCTTATCAAAGTGATTATAACAGATTTTTATTACCTTTATAGACATCTACTGATACATTCTGTACATTTGATAAGAACCACAAGCGTTTGACCCAACACGAAAAGGAGCTCACCCGCCAATTTCATGACGATTTAGCTGCCGGTATGCAGTTTTGCCCCGCAGGTTCAAAGGAACTGTTTTACGTCCGATATCCATCCGCCCAGTAGTAAGTTGCCTTTGCTCCATATACGCTACTTGCTGGCCAGAGTTAAATGGCTATTCGCCTGATTCGTCGCTTGTTAACGAATTTTAAAAATGAAAGCTGGAAGATGCCCATTTTGCTGAGGCGTACATGCCGCTTCGTTTGCTAGCGGTCGCCTGTCTTTAGTTCTATACCTTTTGAAGTTACTTGCCCGCTGTTCCTGAATTGCTTGCTGCCACCAAAAGTGACGCACGGTGATGGCCGTTTAGCTCTCCAGTCCACTGAGCCGCCCGCTTGTCTGCCACAGACGACACACTGCACCGAGCGGCGGTTTCCGTGTTGGAAAGAAAAGGATTGACAAGGCGCGGATGACAACTGTCGTGACGACAACAACAACAAAACGTAGATATTTACTTGCGGATTAGTCCGCTAGGAAGACGTGATTCTGGCGCCAATGGACAGCGATGGGGGTAGACGCAGACGAGCAGCGGTAGGTCGAATGTGGTGTGATCCACGCTCACTGTTAGCATTCAAATCATCGTGCTATCAATTAAGTGCCTATAATACTTGCTTAACTTACGACGGTTCCCTTCTCGCTTCATTTCCGCTCCGATGTAACTTCATGATGATGATGATGACTAATGAGGTAGGTATTCATCACCTTGAGGGTCCGTCGGCCGCGTCCGAGCGCGGTCACTGAGCTACTCGATCAGCTACCAAGAAGCTAATACACATATGTATCTTTAAATGGAAAATCCCCTTGACAATTATATATCTCTTTAGCATTTCGCACGTAAACAATACAGACGGTAGGTCATATCGTCGTGGTGACCCTGCCGAAGCACTCTAATCCACAGCTGGCAATGCCGACCAACCGCTTATGCTTCAGCGTTTCCGACTAAGCGTTGTGTGTGTGCTTCTATTATGATGTCTATGTAAAAAGTAGAACGGCCATTATCGTTTTCGTTCTATGAACACGGTTCACGCCGTAGTGACCCATCTAGATTGATCTGAGGCAGTCCTGGAGTCGGAGGTGAATCCAAAGGAGATTTGGCATAAAGCATCGATTAATGAGGATAGAAGCTGTCAAGAGTTCTGTTTGCACAAGTCGCCGTTAAGTAGCAACGGAGTTTGTCTAGACAGGGAAACAAAAGAGGGAACGGCGCGCAAAGCGTTGCTCTACGGCCCTTCCATTACGCTGCGATTTTATCTTCGAAATCAAAAAGTAATTGCGGTAGCTACAAGCACAGCTTTCTTCGGGACTCACATCTGTTTAGCAACACCGTTCCAGCGCTCTGGGTGGTCGGTAGTGTTGTAATGTCATCGAGAGTCCGTGAAGTCTTGTCTTGAGCAGCTTAGAAAGTACATTTAAGGATATCATCTGCATTGTAGCAGCTATTCAGATATCATTTACGATTTGCGCCCTGGAGATGCTGTTATATAATCATTGAGGCCCGAACGACAATAGAAATACTGGTCTTTTGTCATACACGCGTAATCGTGTACGTTTGCGAATAGAGGCTCATTTGTAATTGAGACGTCACTTTTAGATATACGGTTCCTGTTCTTTGTCGAAAATATAGAAATCTATTTGATCGTTCGACGTACTATTAACATATAGAGGAACGGCTTCACGTCAGTGAATACGCTGCAGGCCCTTGAGATTTTCTTCGTTAGCTTATTGTCTCTATAATGTATTCTTCGACATTTATGAGGCTAAACTTTTCCGCTACCGTTTCCGGAACCGTGGGAACAGCTCCTGGATAATATTGGTTTGACAACGAAAAATTGTACAACTTATATTCGCGTTTAACTGATCCCTTTCATATTACAGTGATTACTTTTCTGCTACCGTTCGTGAACATGTTAGAATTAAAGTTATCTAAGATGTGTAATCTCGATTGCAGGTTTCTGCTTCGGATCCTGACTGCGGAGTTAATGCTATCGTGAACTTTGGCTTGGGCCCATCGGCACCATCCGCTTTTCGAATTGACCCACGCACAGGAGAGCTTTGCGTGGCTACACGACTCGACCGAGAGTTGAGAGCCACTTACGAAATACCCGTAATGGCCACCGATAGGGGTGAATATCTTTATTATCCTTTTAGCTTTCTGGTCCATCCTAGGGCAAAATGATTTTTTTTTAGCATGTCATCAGGCTTGGGTCACGAATAACTAAAAATCAGTTATACAGTGCGAGAAGAGAATTGAACAGAAAGCAGAAAGATTATATTGTGGTTATTTTTAAAACGGAGGGCATGGACCTGCAATTTCTTGCCAGTGGTCGCATAGCTGTTTCCAACGAAGTAATTATAATATAATTAAATCATGATTCTCTTTGGAATAACAAGCTAAGGGCCATGGCTCCTATTATATCTAAATGCCGAGTTTAAGTTTCAAGGTAATGATATGTAGGTCTATGTGTCAGTACGATCGGATCTGTAGAGCGAGCGTTCGGAATAGAAATTATAACGGCACGCAGCCCATGGCTTAACGAGATCAAAATGGTTTTTACGTAGCCATCTTTAGTTCTGGAACGTTCCATGAACTCGCGTTACGAATTCCCTATTGAAAATTAGACGCCATTGCCGCTGTCAGAAGAAAACGCCGACGAAAAAAAGAAAGGATTAGTAAATCAAAGACGATAAAACTTTACCGCGACTAACGAAATGTTTCGTTTCGATTTTCTGTTAAACAAACTCGATTTCGATCTGATCTAAATAGACGTTGACCGTACTTCTGAGACGTGTGCGATGACACAAACGATTGTTTCTTTCAAGGGGGCAACAAACCGAAAAACGGTTGGTGTCTACAAGATAAACGACTCCTGGTTATGTGCTATTTTACCACGGCGAGACAGAGTCTTCGAGCTGGCAGTTTGGTTTGCGTTTGCCCGCAGCAGTGAATGACCAAACTATCGTGTAACTCCCAGAGATATCCACAGTAATTTCGAACCGTCGGTAAATTTCAATAAAGACCAAAGATCTAGCCCGAAAGACGGATCTGATTAAGCTTACGACTTCGTAAATAAGGCAGATTGTTTGTGATTGAATCCCGTTAAACTTCGCAAATTGAACTAATATGTGAGAAAATTAAGTTTAGATACTTTCAAAAACAGCTTTGAAGACCGCCACTGCCCGGGACAAGTGCGCACATTTCCCATTCGAACAGACCCCCACCTCGTCCATCTATTTGGTGCTCCTTTGTTCCCATTTCGCACATCTCCCCTTAGTTCCTATTCAATGCGCACAATTGAGTTTCCGTCACAACTGTCAAAACGTTAGTCTTCTATATTTTTGCAATGAGAATCTCATGTTGTCCTGTGGCTTTTTATACTGAATACTTGTTTTTTTTTTTTATCTTTTGGCAAGCGTCTTGAGCAAATGTATTACTTACCTTCTACTCGATGACGCGAGGCATCTCTGACTCGGCGTATTCGAATTGATTGAAATGCAAATGTTATTCAACTGTGATCTGGACATCTGTACACGCATAAGTGCGGCGTGCGTTTAGCTCAGACAGGGCGAAAACACAAAATGGACGACGACCAGAAGTATCAAAAACATCGCGCGTCTTAGCCATAGAGGTAAGGCCGGGCGTTGGAAGATAGAAGGAAAACGGCAAGACAAAGCGAACGCAATTTACATAAGCCGAAGGATTACCATCTGGAAGCGTGGTCAAGCGGAGCCCGAGGATGGAGTCCGGCATAACTTCACACTTCGATACATTTATAATGTTTGTACAGACTTCTTTGCAACTACCGGTCCTGTTGATACTATATCATGTAAAGGGGATTATATGGTGACTAGAAGATCTAGTTTACAAATAATGCCTTGTCAACTGATTCTCCATCATAATGGTGGCTTTTTCAAAGCACTTTAAATTATGTACATATTTTTGTGCGTAGCGCGTATGAACGCAACACAGAAGTACACGGAATTTTCCTGGTACCTTCTTGGTGATCTCGTCTGCTGATTACCGTTTGCTTAAGAAACAGGTAATCTGAGTCTTCTTGTTATTTGCTCTGAAGCGTTTCCAGTCATTTTTGGATCTCTCCAACAAATCTTTATATACATATATATACAACTTATCTATACAACTTATCTACATTGGAACACTCGTAGTGAGCTACCTGTTGATGGCTATTAATATATAATAATTATTCTCTCACACCAACGTATCGTGCATAGTACAATTTTATTCTTGTGTGCTTATTGTAGTCCCTTTTGTCTATATAATTGTTTGCTAGATAAGCCGGCATTTCATATGACGGAAAGATCCTTTATCAAGATTAATTACCTTTCTACATAGTAGTAACAGTATTACTTCACATCCCTGCCTGTTTCTACTCTTCGACTTGAGAAGATAACGAAAAATCACGAAATAAAAAATATATCAAACGAACGAGTCCTCGCTCGTTAATCCCGCTCACTTTGAGACTCTAGAAACCAACGGCACTGCCAGTGGCGACAGTTGACGCCAGTCAAGTTCCGCCAACACTTCAGAATGGCTCGCGTCGACAAGGTTTTCAAACCAAATCTCTGCTTGTTCTATGACTCAGTTGTCTCCTGTCGATTGCGCGACCTTTTCCCCTTCGGCTTCAATTTTTTGTAACCTGCAGCGACGACTTCTGCTCGACTTACGGCATTTTCTACCGTCTTCGTTATTGTTTATGTTGCTACTGCTGCTGTTGTTATTGTTGTTGTCGTCGTGCTTGTCCAATGCAGACGCTCTAATTTTATGACATACGATAGCCAGAAAAGCGGAGACACGACAGACAAGTGAAATACGTTTTATTTATCAGTCGAAACTGAACGGTCCAAGGCTACACGGATGCAATGAGACGAGATGCAGGAATAAAACTGAGTGTGTCTCTGCATAGAGGCAGCCACGAACGAACAAAGACCTAATACAGAATTCACTAAAGAACGTCAACCCCGGATAGTGAAGTGCGCTCAGATGATAACAGATTACAGGCGACCGATATGTGCGTGCCCACAAGAAGCCATTAACAAAAAGCCTAACCTATATAACCCTACGAGTCAATAGCGTTTCTTTACAAGCAGATCGACACAAATGACATCTGTTTCTACTCAAAACGACACGCATATATAACGCAGTACGTACGGCGGACGACCGTTTCATAGAAATAATAACGATACCTTCAAAATTCTTCAATGACAATATGGCTACGATCATGGACGGACCTTCGAGGTGCGAGTGTAACTCTGAGCCAGGTACTATTTTAAGAGGCAAGTTAAGTTCATACTGGCAGTAAGTGGACTGGCGGTCTGGAGCAGAATAATAAAATGCCCCTGAGGGTAAAAGACAGACGAGAGGCATATGGGCTGAGGAACGAAAGAACAGGTCCCAGGCGCAGGGCGCACAACGCGTAGTTTCAGCTCAAATCAAATGCAAGTTAAACAAGTCGGATAGCTCAGGTTAATTGGTAATATAGTTAAAGTGGATTTCGGCCATTTTGTTTGCGCAGTTCGACTGATAACATCTCATGCCGCTGTTGATGGCAGTAATAGCGACTGCTACGATGGACGCGATAGCCACTACTGACGGTGAGCTCGTATACTCCCTTTGCCTCTCGCAGACACGGGCATAAACTAAACGGCGACAATGACGACGACGACGAAAACAATGCCGACGGTTCCGCTAAATGTGAGGGTCGTCGTCTTTCGTCGTTTATTACCACCCGGCAGAGAATTATCTTTGAGTTACTTTGCTCGCTAGAGAGCGGCGAAGTCGACGGAGTCCACTATGGGCTATACAATTGCTAAAGATGCTTGCTTCTTCCGGGTCCAAGACGACCGTATGCCGTTGATCAAATGGCTGACAAGGCAGGTTAGTCGTTGGAGTTGACCGGTGCGGTTGACTTTTTTCTGATAACGATATAGAGCAGAGAAAATGCGCGGGCGTTACTCAATATGCTGACTCTGATCCCGAGCCATTGTTACGATCAGATATTCATTGATCGGCGCCTGATACACTTACATGAATCAAGTCGGCTTCGGCTAATTTTCAATGGATCGAAATTAAAAACAGATTGTTAAGTGATTTCCAGAGAGTGGTCACTCCTGCGAATACACAGAATGAATTCTGCGATGGCAGTCATGCTCGCACATGACCATGTGCGCACGTGTTGGTGCTTAGCAGAAAAGTTATTTCTATTTAAAGGATTTGATCTGTTTCATTACATCACTGCAGTCGAAACACGTAAGCTATAATATCACAAGTTTATTACGGTTACGGACAATTTTACGCTCTTTTGTAGATACCTCTCCTCTCATACTTCAAGCAAACGGAACATATTCCGTTGGGCAATCACTTCATCACAGAATATTCAGCTAAATAAAACAACATTGTATATATAAATGTATCTATTTAAAAGCGTTGGCTGCCAGTGATGTGTGCCTATTATCTCTTGCCACTCTTTTAACCGCAAACGAATCGCTGAAAAATACAATTCTCTGAAAACTAATCATAGAGCATACTATCAGTGCGTAGGACAAACGAGCCTATTTTGACTATTTTATCCTTTTTTAACTTTAACTTTAGGCGGCCTAAGTACGTCCACCGTAGTAAAAGTGCACGTCCTCGACATAAACGACCATCGACCAAAATTTCTACTCGACGAATACAATGTGTCCCTAAGTGAGTTCTTCGATCAAACGACGCAACCTATCGTTGTAGTTGTAGCCACTGATCGTGATACTGGACTCAACGGACGAGTCACCTACTCCATTGTTGAAGGAAACGCTCAGAAACGCTTTCGTATTGATCCTAGCACAGGTATGTAAAAAATCGTCCTTAGCTATTGTAAAAAACTAGTGCTCAATCGTACGAAGAATTTATTGCAGATCATTAATGTACTATGGTGACTACTATTATACTTAGTGTAATTTGAAGTCTAGCTATAGTAGGAATACACGATAATGACGTGTTTGCTTGCAAAGTCTAAAGATACGTGAGCTAGCCTAGGTTCGAAACCACGTTTCATCTTTGGCTCGAACGGGTCGCCTACCGCCTAAAATATGAAACAGCGCAGCCAAACGTAAAACACTTAATATATATAATACCAACCGGGTTAAGTTGACAAATGCTGTGCACAGCGGCTAGTTGGTCTCTAGTGCTGTAAGCTATACACAGACTTCGAATGGAAACAATAGTCGATAAACTTTCTTTCGTTGTAAGTTAAATTGTCTAATAAAAGCAAGAAGTCGTCTTTGGACTGTATCCTATATTACATATTGAGGTGTACCTTCTGATATCAGCATTACCCTTTTCTAACTTATGATATACCCTTACGCAGGCTGACGTTTAAAAATGATGTAGTGCCTAAAACAATAGCACTAGCTACCTTACGCACATATGAACGAATACCCTTATCGCACTACATATAGTCTCGTGTAAACATTGTATATGAACCTCATTACAGGCGGGATCTACATCACGTCAGCCTTACGCCGTAGCTCAGGTGGCATGACGCATCATCTTGTCGTGACAGCCCGGGACGGTCAGGGTGTCGAGGCCGAACGGCCTGCGCATGTCCACGTACATGTTAGTGTTATTGGAGCAATGTCATCAAATCAACAGAGGACACCGGTATTCGATGCGCCCCGATACGTTTTCCCTGTTCGTGAAGACGTGACACCTCACAGCGTCGTCGGCAATGTGATAGCTCGTGCTGCTGATCAAGGCTCTCATGGGGTGCGCTATGCGATTCGTTCGGGTAATGACCAGGGTTTGTTTACGATCGACCCTATTCGAGGGTTGATTTCAGTTGAAAAAACTCTCGATTTCGAGACCGCGGCGTCAGTCCTTCTAAATGTTCAAGCTGCCGCCGGTAACCCGCCGGCCTACGGGCATGCTCAAGTAAGTGGCACTATGGTTTCCATGCGACTAAAAGTAACCAGGCCAATAATTCAGGACCAGAACGAACATTATTGAATCATTCATATACTGTGGTTACACTTAATATTTTAATGAATAAAAACTTTTGGCAAAGCTTTTAGAAATGTCTTTTTTTTCCAGAACATTGCAGAATAATGTTTTTTGCCATTTAACTGTTCCTATTTCAGGTCAACATTTCAATCGAAGATGTAAACGACAACAACCCGTGTTTCGAAAGTTCCGAAGTGAGGATATCTGTAGCCGAAAATACAAGTCTAAGTAGCCCATTATATTCGGCTCACGCTGAAGACGCTGATTCCGGTGAAAATGGCCGAGTTACTTATGCTCTTGCTGAGGAATCTGACAGCTTTAAGGTTTTTTTTTTAAATTTATTTCGTCTGTCTTGGAAACTAGTTATTATATTTATTATAGGATGTTTTATGTGCTGAGTCCCACCCTACGTATTCCTTCCATGAAAAGCTTGAATTATGCTTGTTTCCTGTTGTTAATTTATCTATTATTGTTCATCAAGTTTCAAAAATGCGTTTGGCTATCTTCTTGGTACAGGTAGTCGCTCGAACAGGCGCCATCATGCTCAAGCGTAGTCTTGACTATGAGTTGCGTCAACAGTATCGCTTGATTTTGGTCGCACGAGATGGCGGACAGCCTACGCGGACGGGGAACACGACGATCATCGTCGAAGTTCAGGATGTCAATGATAACGCGCCTGTATTCGAACACGAATCCTACCGGGTCACGATTGACGAGAGCCTTCAGTTAGACGAGCATTTCCTACAGGTGGTTGCTGCCGATTCAGATAGTGGAAATAACGCCCGCATTACATATAGGTAGGTATCAAAACATTCATTTTGGTAGGTACCTTCTCGTTACTTCGGTGACAACCCAACTTTATTTCTTTAGACCATTAGGGTGGTTCTGTCCGTCTAGAGATCTCAACATCTGCCTCTAACGGTCTGTAGGAGCAAGCAAAATAAGGCCCGTGATATTTCCATCTGTATACATACAATTCGTACCTTTATTCGGTCTGTTATAGGCTCGTGGAGACAGAGTCTGGTGGTACGATTTCTCCACGGTTTGGTATATCACCAAACACCGGTCAAATATTCCTTCGGCAACGATTAGATCGAGAGTCAGAAGAATCGTACGAGCTGAGCGTTGAAGCAGTCGATAACGGAAGTCCTTCATTGTCGGCTCAGGCGCTCGTTCACGTGACCATTAGCGATGCGAACGACAACGAACCTCAATTCCTTAGGGACTCATTTGAATTCGCCGTTGAAGAGAACGCCGAACCTGGACGAAGGGCCGGTGAAGCGCAGGCCGTTGACAAGGATCTCGGCGATAATGCTGCACTTCGATACGTTTTACTTTCTTGTGATAATGAGTTCTACATCAATCCAGCATCTGGTACGCAGAACAGTGATTTTCCATTTTAAAAAATCCAATTATAAAACGTCTTGCGGCGGAAGGCGTCGTTAATTCGTGAATAATTGTTTTTTACCGCAACGTTTGAATTTGTGCACTTGGAAGCCTGCACAAATTTCTGTTTCACCTTCTCTCGCTCTCTATATGATATAAGCCTCTACACTACTAGTCAACATTGTACTGAACTTCACGGCAGTGTTTACCTACATTATTCAATCTCTAACTGGGCACCGGCTTGACTATTTTTATGATTGTCCGTAGGAGAAATGTTCACCAAAATGCGTTTGGATAGGGAGAAACGCTCGAGCTACGAGTGCGTTGTAGAAGCTCGTGACCAAGGCTCAACACCGAAGAGTTCCCGGGTAAGCGTTCGAATCCGTGTCCTCGACAAAAATGACAACGCGCCACAATTCATCGATAATCAAGAGACCGATTTCAGTGTTCGAGAAGAACAACCGGCCGGTTCCGAGGTGGCTCACGTACGGGCAACAGACTCGGATGAAGGGGCAAACGCTGAAATTGTTTACGAAATCGAGGCGACGGGTGCTCCATCCGACGGAGCCCAACTCTTCAGCGTCAACAGTGATGGACTCATTAGGACGAAAAGTGTCCTTGATCACGAACAACAGGACATGTACACCCTGCGCGTAGTTGCTAAGGATATGGGCTCACCATCACTCGAGGCAAAACTCGATCTCACCATTAAAGTGCAAGACGTCAACGACAACCAGCCGTCATTTTTCAGTTCAACAATCAGCTTCACAATTCAGGAAGGCCTACCGCCAGGCCGTGAGGTCGGCGTTGTGGAGGCTTTTGACCAGGACAAAGGACAAAACGGGTTGATAACCTATACCATCGTCAGTGGCAATCCTTTCAATACATTCAGTATCGACCGTTCAAACGGAGTGCTCTATACCAACGTCGAGATCGACTTCGAGCGTACGCCCGACTTCGCGCTCCAAGTGAGCGCTAGTGACAATAACGTTATGGACTCACGAGGCTCGGTAATTAATGTCAACATTCGTGTGGAAGATGTTAACGACAACGCGCCCAAATTCGCAACTGACCCAATCGTCTTCTCTGTGAGTGAAAGCGCTTCTCCTGGAAGTGTTCTCACGACAATTACGGCTCGAGACGAAGATAGCGGTTTGAATGGTGAGGTGCGCTATTCAATTGCTGAAGCAGGCCCGGGCAAACAAACGTTTACAATCGACCCCGTCTCAGGCGCTGTGACTCTGATTGAGCCCTTAGACTACGAAAAACAACCTCAATATGTTTTCGTAGTGAAAGCCCAGGACCAGGCTCGAGATATGGAATCTCAACTGAGCAGCAAAGCGACCATAACACTGCTCGTTGAAGACGAAAACGACAATTCACCTGAGATAGTATCGAAAAATTATGTCGAGGTTCTAGAGGACGAGGACGTTGGCGCAGTTGTTACGACAATCCTAGCCAGCGATCGGGATTCACGTGAAAACGGACGCATTACGTTTCGGATTCAGAGTGGAGATATTCATGGAAACTTCCATTTGGACGAAAACACTGGTCGATTAACCATAGCTCGTCGCCTTGACCGTGAATTAACGCAGGAAATTGTGCTGAATATCACCGCAAGAGATAATGGCCGCTCTAGACGCTACACCGTTCAATCACTTCGCGTGAAGATTCGCGATGTAAACGACTGTGCGCCGATGTTTGTTCAACGATCGTACTATGTCAATGTTACCGAAACCAAGCCTATTGGAAGCACTCTGCTTCGGGTGTCGACAAAAGACAACGACGTGTCCGGTGGCTCGAACGTCACGTATACGCTGCACCAGGATCCTTCGATTCCGTTCACCGTCGACGCAATTACTGGTGAAGTCCGCATCACCGCAGTTCTGGATCGAGAACAATGCGATCGCTACAATTTGACAATATTCACGGATGACGGTGCAACTCCGGTGGCACATTTCGATTCGGCCAATTTAATTATCGATGTTCTCGACGCTAATGATCATGCACCGGACTTTGGAGAGAGCTGTTATCCTCTGTATATTCCCGAGAATCGAGGGCTATCTGTGATTCATCGGCTGCACGCGAACGACCGCGACGCAGGACAGAATGGCGACGTAATCTATAATATTGCCGAAGGCAACGACGGAAACATGTTCGCCATCGACCCATACTCCGGCAGTTTGAGTTGTAAGGGTCTCGATCGTGAGACGCTGCCGGTTTACCGACTCACCATCCATGCTCAAGATCAAGGAGTGCCGCCAAAAATTGGCCGCTGCAATCTTGAAGTGCACGTGCTCGACCAAAATGACAACGATCCTCAGTTCGAACATAGCGAATACAGTGCTCAGGTGAAAGAGGATGCGGAGATCGGGACCGAAGTTCTTATGGTAAAGGCGCATGACATCGACGAGGGGGCTAATGGCAAGGTAACCTACTCGTTGATTAATGCGACTGGTGTGCCGTTTGGCATTGACAGTGAGACGGGGCACATCCTAACTACTGGCCATTTCGATCGAGAACACGAACAAAGCTACACGCTCGAGGTTCGCGCATCCGATAACGGGGCCTATGAATCACGATTTCATTCGGCAACGGTACACATCGCTATCACAGACGCAAACGACCACAAGCCCGTATTTATTCGATACCCATTCATTGCTGAAATCTCACCTGATGCCCCTATCGGCGCCAAGATCGAGCGAGTCGTGGCTGAAGACGATGACGACGGCCAGAACGCTGATGTTTCCTATACATTTAGCGAGCAAGGACTTCATAATAACCTCTTCAACATTGATCCATACTCTGGCCAGGTTACGTTAGTTCAGAGCGTGTACAACTACAATGGCAAGGTCCTTCACGTCGAGATCGTGGCTAGCGACCGTGGCGAAGTACCGAAATCTTCACTGGGCGTCCTTGAAGTTCACGTGGGCAAAACCTCACACCACCAAGAGCTTCACTTCGAGCAGGAAAAGTATGCAGCCTACATTTTGGAGAATCCCAATTATGGTGCGGAAATCACCACTATAAGAGCGTTCAATGATCTTATGAGCTCGCAGGACATTACCTACTCGTTCGATAGTGACTCGGACGAATTTTCGATCAATCATAGCACGGGCGTCGTGCGAGTGAACAATTCGCTCAAACTCAACTATAAACAACAGCAGGCAATTACCACAATCGTAATCGCGAAGAGCATCCGCAACGGGGAACCGAGTTATGGCTATGCCCGTCTACAGGTGAACCTTCGTGATAAGAACGACAATACGCCGCGGTTCTCGCAAACTCACTATGTCGCATCGGTGGCCGAAGGCAATCGACGGGGTGAAGTTGTCGTGCAGCTGTCCGCTATTGATGAGGATGAGGAACATGGTAATGGTCATGTGATGTACCACATTGTGGACGGCAATCACGACAATGCCTTCGCCGTCGATACTTCTAGCCCCGGTGTGATTCGAACGAACATCGTGTTGGACAGAGAAATCCGCGACACGTATACGCTGACGGTAATCGCAACTGATGAAGGGTTGCCACCGTTGACCGGCACGACGACCGTGCACGTATCGGTGGTGGATGTCAATGATAACCAGCCCGTTTTTCCCCCGTACGATCCGCTTAAAGTTCGTGAAGATAAACTGGTAGGGGGGGTCGTTTCGGTGATCACAGCGAACGATGTTGATGCACATCCGGCGCTCGTATACAACCTGCGAAACTCTGATAACACGTTTACAATCGACGCGTTCTCGGGTCAGCTGACGCTGGCGAGGCAACTGGACTTCGAGACGCAGACGAATTACTCCGTAACAGTAATGGCGACCGATGGTGCACACACGGCAGAGACGACGGTATCTGTAATCGTTCTCGATGTTAATGACCATGCTCCGAAATTCAATGAATCGGCGTACACGGCGATGCTGAGCTCAAGTAGTGGGGGAGTCATTCTTACGGTAAACGCTACAGACGCTGACTTGTCGGACAATAATCGTGTCACATACAAGATTCGGCCAAAGTGTGAATTCCTCAAGATCAATCGGAAAACAGGGGAAATTTCACTTCGGGAGGGAGTGTCTCTAAAACCGAATGTCATTGCCTATCTCTCAGTCGTCGCAGAGGATGAGGGAAGCCCCTCGTTCAGTACGGCCGTGCCGCTGCGTATACAAACTTCGAGTCTTCTAGAAAAACCCTATAATTTCGCCGAGAAGAGTTATTCGGCTTCGATCCTCGAATCAGCGCCAATTGGCTCAACGGTGGCGAACCTCAGCACTGTCGATCTTCATAACGGTGCCAAGACTGCTGAGTCGAAGCTCTCGTTTGACATCTATGAGGGCAATGAAGATGGTCTTTTCGCAATCGACAGCAAGGGCAGGGTACAAACGGCTGGGCGACTTGATCGTGAAACGCAACGGCATTTTGAGCTTAAGGTTGTGGCTTTCCCGCACCGTAAACGCGAAATCATAAATGTCACCACGGTTCTGGCTGTCGATGTCAACGACGTGAATGATTCGCCTCCAGTATTTAGTAAGAGCCGCTACGAAATTTTATTGTCGGAGCTTACCCGGGTAGGCACTATGATTCTGCAAGTGGTCGCCATAGATAAGGATGCAGAAAGTGACGTTGCTTACGACATAACATCAGGGAATGAAAAGGGCCAGTTTGAAATTGGTAATCGTACCGGGAACATCGTGCTGCTCAAAGAACTCGACTTTGACGCCACGGAAGAATTCAGGTTTATAGTACGGGCCATCGATTTGCTAAATCCTGCGCTTGCTTCGCTTGTCGGCGTCTCAATAAAAGTTAAGGACGAAAACGACAACGCACCTGTATTTCCAGTGTCGCGTTACAATGAGTTCGTTCAAGAGTCAGCTCCTGTCGGAAGTGTGGTTTTCACTGCCCACGCTAGCGACAGGGATAAGGGCCGTTACGGCGCGCTTAATTACAGCATTTTAGAGGCCGACGCAAGAGACAAGTTTAGCATAAACGCTGAAAGCGGGCTAGTTACGACGAATGCGGTTTTTGATTTTGAAAGCAAAAAGCGGTACCATTTTACTGTAGTGGCCATCGATGCTGGCGGTAAGTACGCCCATGCCCAGGTTCAAGTTGACATCCAGGGCAAAGACGAGTATCCACCAGAGTTTCTCAAACCGGTGTACCATTTCACAGTTCCTGGAAATGCCCCGAAAGGCTATGGCGTCGGACGTGTTGAAGCAACCGACGTCGACGGAGGATCCGACGGTATTGTGTCATATTGGCTGCGATCACCAACCCAACCGAATTTCCAAGTGAACGCGACCACCGGAGTCATCTATGTCGTCGAGCCGATTTCCTCTCCGAAACGAGTTGTTGAAATAGCGCTGACCGTGGAAGCTGGTAGTGGTCGGACAAATTCGTTGACGAGCCTTACCACCGTACAGCTCACCGTCGACTTTTCTCTGAACGCCAGTCTTGTAACTGAGAATCTGTCAGAAAGCGGAGTGGCCGCGTGGATTTACGCGTTGCTAATACTTCTCGGCTTCGCCTTATTGATCCTGCTCAGCCTTATGCTCTTCTCCAAGTATCGCACTTTGTCAAAGGAAGCCAACAAACCTGAAGCTGCCCGCGGATTCGAAGATACCATAGATGCCATGGACGCACGCCGATATCCAAACCTCACGTACCCGCCACACTACAACGAGATTTCGCACTACGACACGCCTGACGAGGCCCACATGACGACGGGATACGACAAGAGATGCGTATCCAGCCGAAGTGCCGATGAAGACGATGAGATCCGCATGATCAATGAAGGCCGGATGCTTAACATGACGCATCGAGCCCACTGTGGCGGAGAGGATGCCACGAGCGTGATATCAGCTCAAAACACACAAGAGTATCTAGCGCGGCTTGGCATCTACACGGGCTCCGAAAAGAGCACTCAAGGAGACTATGCCAAGATCGAAGGTGGCGATTGCGACGGGATGTCTAATATCATCTACGAGAAACTCGATGACCTCGACGACCAAGCCGTACCACAGCGAGGACCTCCACCGGTTAAAATGCGTCAGCCACCTGTTGCCGGCTCTCTAAGTTCGATTGTGCACAGTGAAGAGGAAGTTGCCGGTTCGTACAACTGGGATTATTTGAACGACTGGAGCCCACAGTATCACAAATTGCCGAATCTCTTTGCAGAAATGGCTAAGATTAGTCCGGTAGTCGGTTCTGGGGGAGATTCTGGAGGCCCGTCTGGTCCACCACACCCGGGATACCCGATGACCGCACTGAGTTCGGGGGACTCGTCGAATGGATCTCGGCGTAGCGTGATTATTGAACGACTTCCGCCGACGCAACAGCGGCCGCCACCTCCACCGATGCCCCCAGCAGTCGTAGCTGCTGTGGCTAACTCCGCTATATCAACTAACATGGCCCCGTACCCAAGCGCAATGACCCCTAGCTTTGATCCTTGTCCACCACCGACGCGTTCATCGGAAGAACTCTCGCCTGTGTACGACGTATCGCTTATGGCGGGGCCACATGCGCACCGTATGTCGTTGCGTTCCATAGTAGGCAGCCGAGCAGCCACACTAACCCGAGCTGCGGAGAGCGATTCCGAATTGTAACATCAATTCTAACAATACCCAAAATTTAAATCTCTTTTATGTCAACGGATGGGCCCTAGATGGTTGCTGTCACACTTTTAGATGTTCGTCAATGAATACGGGAAATCGCAAAACAAAAACCTCTAGCTGATCTTACCCTGTTGAAGGAAGAGACGTTTCTACCGTAGTGTCCTGAAACATTCCATGAAACAAGGGCCATTATGTCATTTTATTTTGCCGCAAAACAAATGAAGATCTCTACACGGTTTTGATATTATAAGGCAGTGGACGAATTTGTAACTAATTGTATTAGTAGTAATAATAAAAGCGGATTCTGCAGCCAAATAGGGAGTGGAGGCAAAACCAGAAACGTGGGATAGGCAGAACAAGGCCCAATCACTGGCAGAGCAACGTATTTATTGTATATATGCGTGTGAGCGGGTAAGAAGAAGATAAGAAAGTGTTGAGAAAAACTTCGAAAATTGAATTAGAAGATTGACGAGAACGAACGAACGAACGAACCGATAGCCGTCACTCTATTTTTAGACGTATGTACATAAATGTACTTTCTTTTGTAAATAGGATCAGTAAGCAAACAGCATAAACACATACGAGATGCAATAAGCAGATTGTCTTTAACGAAATCCTTGGCGGAGTTCTCCTTGCGCCTATTGTTAAATCCCAATTTAACGAACAAATAGAAGTATACCTATATCTTGTAAATGTTATGTACAGTTGGACGGCAAAGGAAGACTTTCGAAGTGTGCGATTATGTGAAGGCTGCCGCTTGTAAAGATCAAACCATCAATTGTAGATATGGTACCGAAACTCATGGCGCACGAAGCAACGTCAACAAAGGATACGATTAACAAAATCAGGAAGACTCAAATAAATGCTATCCAATTTGTCCTCTGTACAAAGTTGCGCACAACGGGAAATGTTGATAACGAATTACGACAGTATAAATACTGCAGATAATATGATAAGTATGGCGGCGCGATTTCCCAATGTAAAATGACTCATTGATAATGTGCGTTTTTTTTTTGTCTAAATAAAAAAAAAGTTAAAATGTTCGCCACCATCCTCGATTCTGTTCATTTTTACATAGTGCACCCACCGCAAACATGTATTGTCGTTTTTGTGTTACTGGAATCAATCTTTTTAACGATTAAGAATTGTCCACGCCTACTTGATAAATGTTGGAATCGGTAAAACATGGGAACTTCAGGGTAAGTTTATGTGATACTGTGATCTATTTATCTATAGTGTATCGTAAGCCGACCGATGAGAACTTAGCCCTTGTATTCGATTACACATATTGAACGAAGAACTTTAAAGTACTGCTAACGAATAGTATTGTCAGTCCTTGAAGTTCATCGGCAGATGTACAATATCATTCGAACGTCGATACATTTTTATGAATCGCAAAAAAATTTACCTTGCCTATATGGGGTGAGGTCTTGTCCTGAAAATCGCTGAGCCTGTACCGCTTGGCAGAATAAATAATAGTAGGAAAAAAACATTGACTATTACTACTACCGCTGTTATAGTTAAGCTCAACGGTAGTAACAATATAGGCTTAGAGCTATGTTGCTTTTAGTATCTTCGTTTATTAAGCATGTGTTAATCAGGCTACGCTATCAAACGACAACAGGGACTGTCTTTTACCTGGTCGAAGAAACCTTTTTTGATCCGCTTAAGGGTTGGTAAGTTGGTCTGAATATAGGATTCGAATCTAACTTGAATCTACTGCTTGCAGCGAATTCGAGACAAGCTGACAATAACTATAAAATTGCCTTCTCGAAAATAGAACAAATAAATAAGTATCTTCGAAATCAGGGCCAATTTTGGATAAGTTCTGCTCACAAAGAGAACCCAAAGGTAACTCAGGGCTCGTTCAGGAACGATCATCAAGCAAAATCAGTAACGATTAGAAGAACGAAATCAGCTTAAATGCCAAGAAATTTGCCTTATCTAGCTCACGGGTTACTGCAAGCGCTGGCGGACCGTTCGCAGCGTCATTTAAAAGCAGATTTACGTGCTCCGAAAGTTACGTTATAACGTTTCATTGACTGTACTATTCGTTGTAGGAGTGCTTCGTTCGTAAATGTAATATCAATTCGATCTAAACGACCTGCGTGCATAAACCAGTGGGTCAGGTTATACTTCTAAAGCCCACCCCATTCTTTCGAAATATTTGACTTCAGTTCCAGATGATCAACGCGAACGTACGTGTATGCCAAGTTAACTCGCTCAGATCGTATTGATCGATACTTATAGGTATGTGTTTGATGGTTTATTTGGTTACGAAATCCAGTTTTCTAAGGTCAATTTTTTTAGACCTACTTTAAATGGCTTAGGAAAAAACGCGTTCAGAACTACCAAGTTACGCTTGGCCGACCTGACCAAAAATTATTAACGAGCCTGTTATGGTCGTGGTGTTATTGAGGCTTAACGTTACCTTGATTGAGTTGTAAGCGAAATTTCGTGGGCAGAAAATAATTTGCTAAAAAACAGCTGAAGGACAGATTGACTTTTCTACAATTGCAATTGTCCCCTTCTAAACAGGATACTTCTAGTTTAACATACGAATCTGCAGTGAAGTTTCGTTCTCCTACATAAACGTAATTAGCAAAACACAAAGAGCGGCTGCTAGCGCTTTGCCATTAGTTGGAAGGTGAGGCAACTGCGATCGAGTGCAACAACTTTTGTTAAAAGCTAATAGATAAATGCGTACGCATGTTGAATAGAATTTGCCAGTGTCGAAAAGTTTCAATCATTAGAGAAGCGGCGCGCAGCTTCCAGGAACGTTTCTTAAACGAACGCCGAAGTGAGAGAAGACGTTTCTCTCACTGCACGGCAACGGAGCTTTAGGGGCTGTATAGTTAAGCAGTAAAAATGCTATCATTTTGAAATTTGTATATCCTATAATTCCCTCATCCCGCCTTCTTAACAATAGACGTAATGCATAAACTCTAGCTGCCTTACGTATCATACAGTTGAGTAATTGGAACGTTTTTATCAACGCCTTTCAAACAGCAGCGATTCATAAACGATAGCAAAATATAATCAAAATTTATTTTCCCATTTCAGACCACAGAGTCTAAGCAGATCTTCTTAAATCGAGGCGGGCATCACCGGCGAAATTACGAGGCCTCCAGAATCTAGAGGGTTCAACTCAATTTACTGGTAACTCACTCTTGACCAGCCCGCTCCCCTCCACCGGCAACGCCATACCCCTATATGAGCGATTTAGCAAATGTTAGTTTTTTACGCTTCGTCTTCGCCCGCCCAACATTGACTACGTGTTTATCATTCTCTTGCCTACTCGTTAGCTATTGGCAAGGTGAACTGGCTAGTCATGTGTAAGTGATTTGTCCTGATTCGATAGGTACGATACACAAGTCTACAAGAGGAGGACACCGGAAAATTCACAGCTTACGTTACACTGATCAAGCGTACAGGCAGCCCAGTTTTACCTGCACCTGTATGCCTTTGCACGTTGGAGTTTAGTCTTCGTTACTATCGCATATCGCTCGATTGCACCATCGAGCTACAAAACGAGTCAAGCAAAGCCACCCCAGACAAAATCGAAACCTCGTACCATTGGGTTTCCCCGCTCTCAGACGCTCTTCTTCTGCTGCCCTCCGAGCTCCAACCCATCAGATACTACCTACCGGTGCGGGATGTAATGGGTTTGTGGTTCTTGGAGAGGGTATTTAGCATTTTCTAACGATTTTCTCCCCGTCTCACTCGCACTCTTCATATGACTTACTTGCCCTTTATTACCCCTAGTGGTACAGCGCCGCTCTGTTTTTACCGCTCCTCCTGATTCACGAGGTTACGACACAGTCAAGTCGGGCGATAGCAACGGCCTTAGAAATCTGTGGTCATCGGAGTGGTGGCCATGGCTGCCGCAGCCGCAGAAAGTTGTGGGCGGAGCTGATAACATCATTGGAGCGCTGGAGAGTTGGCACCATAAGCAGAGCTGGCGGGAAGGGAACGGGTCCGATTGAATGTCGAAGAGTGCGCTACAGGAAATAGTCTCGCTGGTGACCACGGAGGGCGCTTGTGAGCGCCCACCAGTGAATCCTGCCGACTCTTAGCAAGCCAATGATGACGACTTCTTCTACTGAACATAGCGCAGCTCACCCCGTCGTAATAAAGTGCAGTTCCAACTTATTCTTCTTTGGCGTGTTGCGGCCAACGTTAAGATTCCTACCTATTTCGGCTACTGGTCAGACTAGATTGGAACGTCTGCGACTACTGAACCCCTTATCTGCTGTGGGATCCGATACGCCACGCCGATGTGCACCGCAGCAGCAGTTCCAAAAAATGAAGCAGAACGGGCGTGTACTTTCTGCCGCCTTGGCAACCTTCCCAACCCAGCACCAATGATCGACCCCAATACCATCTCGTTGGTGGCTAAACAAAATCCGTGGTCACTGGGACAGAACTGTCGGACGAGGGAAGTTTGTCGAGAAGGCAGCGACAGCAGCAGAATCAGACAGAGCTGATCTGCAGGAAAAGGAACCCTACTGGGAGAATGTAGTACGCACGACACAGAGGCGTGAAAGGGTCAATCATACAGGCGGACGAGTTCCGATTGCCCTGGGGAGCAAAAATTGTCACCACCTGGGCTACCTTACCCCAAGCCCAGCAAGCATTGGCATTTCCTATAGCTCCTCTTGCTAATCTGCCGAAGTCTGCGTCGGCGCCGGCAAAAACCAAAAAGGTATCACGGTTGACTGCATCGCTTCTGGGCATGAGATCCAAGTCTTAACCGAGTGAAAGTTGCAGAAGCCCGGTAGAGGTGACTAGAATCATCCGAATCACCGTGGGGAACAGTGTTGCGGCCATTTCTACTAAATGCCAAGGGGTAGCGCTGATGCCTGAGGAAATTCACGGAGACATAGCAGGGCCAGATGTACATGGGGAGCGAATGTTAAAAGCAAAACTGGATATATCTATGGTTCAAGAGGCGGAAAAAGTAAAAAAAAAAAAAAACGAGACGAAATTTAGCAAAGAAATCGACGGAGCCAAAGGGCGAATACGAATGTCAATGACCAGATTACATTGAACATTAGTGAAACACCGGAGCAGCTTGGTAAAGTCGGATTTCTGGGAAATGTTACGTGCACGCAAAAAGGAAGTGAGATAAAACCGCGCGGTTAGAAACACGTTGAAACGAATATTCGATATTTATGTGGAACAAAGGCGGCCCGGTTCTAGAGATGAACCGCTGTTGCCGCGCTCTGTATCGTTGAATCGTCGACTGGAAAAAAGCAAAGTTCTTGAACCGAACGTTGAAGAGTCATTTTAAAGAAGTTTGATTGTGTACTACATCATAATACAGACATATTCTATGTATGTGTAGAAATGTTTTATCTGGTCATAGAAATGCTGCCATGTTTTCTCACTGGTTTAAAAAACCTTGAAGAAAAAGAATGTAATCGTAGCCGTAATGTAAATACAATGCTAAACGCGCATGAACAGGGGTACATTGTCAAAACTACAATAAACCTTGTTTGAAAAAAAAAACCAGTTTAGTCTGGTAAGCCTGTGTTACCATATGGGTATATCTTGGTAAACAATATAATTTTGCATTCATTTTCATTTTAGTGCAATGGTCTAACGTGGAATTTTGTGAAGTTGCTTTGGAGACCATGCACCTCGGCGTCACACGCTGATACCCTGTCATTAAAGTTACTTTTACGTCGTTGTTGTTCTTGTAATCACTACATGCACTATTTGCCTTTACGAATGTCTTATAAACTAACAGAGATCAAAGTTCCCCTCTTCGTATAATCTCAGAATATTTGTTATTAAAATAACACGCTATGTTATTTTAAGGATATTTTAAGGCTGATAGATGCGCCTTCCACTGAACCCCTGGACTTGGTGCCTTATAATTGTACACAATACGCGTTTCGAGTCGTTCGAGCCCGCCGTCAATGGCCGGCCGCGATGACAAAGTAAGTTAATAATAATAATAATAACTGGTATGGTGATAGCCAACACAGAGGTAGAAACAATCGCAGTAAGGGGCATAGCACCAACGCGTACGA